ACCAAGAAGTCACCATACATCCATCCACACTTCATCAGTGTATGACAAGTGAATGCGTGTATAATTGAATGTATAACAGGATCGATTGAACAGGAAATATGAAAGTCTTTGGATACAAAATGACAATACTCGAATATCATACACAAATATATAAATACTCATATATCTACAGAACGTAATATTCTGTATTAAATATAGAAGTTAAATATTTATGCTAATTACACTTGACATGACTCGATATTGGAACAAGTCTTATCAAGCGTTACTATTTTTATAGCTTATTACGTGAAAAAAGTTAAGTGAAAGATGAATTTAAATCTGATAATTATCATTTAAAATCCCATGAAATTCACATTCGAATCGATCGGGATGTTTTACTATTGTAAAATGTTTATATTTGCATGAACTGATGGTGCTCACATACCACGAAGAGCGTTCAACCCGTACATGTGTCCATGAACGCGCATTTAAAAACACTCGTTATGTTCATGTGTGGAAATTAAAGAGACAAATTAACATTATTTGTTACACTGCCGCCTTTTTTCACAACTCCGTGTACATGTCTTCCCTCAGACAAATCGTCAAATTTCAAGTAAATTACTGCTGTTTGGCGATGATGAGTTGTCAAAATGCATTAATTTTCTCCTGTACTCCAAATGTCATTATCAGCTGTCAAAAATTAGAACGATTTTTTCTTCTATTTCAATATAAACTTGTCGTTTACATTGGCATTCTTCATGTACTTCAACTGTTTCCCCTCTTTCCTATCCTATCCTCCCCTATTTTCCGTGTTTACTCATTATTCTCTTATGTGTGTGTCTGTCCACGTGCATATGTGAGTCAATATGTAAGGGTGTGACCATGTTTGTGAATGCATTTTCTTCTCTTTCAATAGTGTTGAATTGTACGTGTATTGTTCGTTATTTCTGGAGCAAATAAAGGAAATAATAATAGTCATAAAACATGTGGTCCTCAAATCTCATATGTATTTCTCCCACTGGAAATGGATAAACGTAAGTTGTAAAACTTGTTCCCAAATCTAATATCAACAACTATGTATTGCTTTACATCATACTGTAAATGGGAAAAGAAATGAATTAAATTTTATATTACAATATCCTCATCAGCCATCAAGTTAAAGGCGTTCTTTAGTATAACTAACAACTATGTAATATGAATACTGTTTTATTTTGATTTTCTATTTATAGTACTATGAACAATATTTCCGTTAATTTGTGTTAGGTAGACGCGCCACGCAAATCAAATATATACAGGTACGTTGTTGAAAAGTAAACTGAATAATACGCGTTATTTTGTAAACCGGCAGGTAAACAAAACAAAATACCTGGGACACATTTATTTTCTATTAAAGCTACATTATTCATATAACTTGTTATCATTTTTTTTCTGTCGACTTCTTATGCAAAAACTATCATATTGTCACTAATGTTATGACATCTCAAGTAAATGTTTAAACTTCAACATTATGCTTAATATGGGCAGAAGTACAACTTTGTATGTATATTTTAAGAATAGAGTGTGGTCATACTGAATCTAAGGAAATGTATTGCGAAAATATCGTTTTATCCGAAAATCATAAAAAAGGTCATGGATAGGTCGTAAAACACAAGACAAATAATAGTGATAAATACATGAATACATAAAATAAACAAATAACAAAATCTGAGTGAAAAATAACCGTTATTCATATATGTAATTAATCAATATAATGGTGCTGTTTACCACCGTTCAATCTATCGCGCAGTTCGATAAATTATTTCACGCAAATAGATCAGGTTTATAATATATATATAGTACCGATAATTTGTCATGCGGGGTGTTGTGTTCCTTCAAGAATAAACCTGATATATGCCATGGTTCTTCTCCCAAAGATTTTGATTGATGCGCAAATATTTACAAACCAAAAGCAGACAAGTCGTTCGACCGGCGATATGTTGATTTTAGCGAGAATTAAAGGGTTCGATCCTACAGCAAAGCTTGTCTTGTCTGGTCGTGATGCTACTAAGCATGTACATGTACAATCACAGAATTTCACTGCCTCTCAACCAAATATGAACATTAATGCTGAAATATTTCAATTTCAGAAAATCCTAGCTTCGATTATTAATATTTCATCATAAACACATGTACATTACAGAGTAGACAATATGAGGTTGTCAATTTTTCGGAGCAATCCACTCCTTTATCGAGACACAGAAAATACATTGCTTTGCGATATACATGTAATCAAGTTTCTTTTTCACTTTGTTATGTAATGTAAGTGTTCTGTGTTTTTCTGTGTCCAGATAAAAGAGCCGATCTCTGAAAGTTTTGCAACCACATATTGTCTACACTGGTGGAATCACTTCCTTGCCCTATGTACATGTCAAATAATCTTTTGTTTCACTAGAGGCATTTGGTCGTTATAAGGGGGTTTAAACAAGAGGCATTTGGTCGTTATAAGGGGGTTGAAACAAGAGGTATGTGATTGGTATAAAAAGGTATCAAGTAGTGGTAATTTGTCGTTATAAAGAAGTTTTAACTAGATGTATTTGGTCGTTATAGGGGGGATAAAAAAAGACGTATTTGGTCGTTATAAGGCGGTTTAAAGAAGAGGTATGTGGTTGTCATAAAAAGGGTATCAAGTGAGGTAATTTGTTGCAAAAAAGAAATTTTAACTAGATGTATTTGGTCGTTATAGGGGGGTTTAAAAAAGAGGTATTTGGTAGTTATAAGGCGTTTTAACAAGAGGTTTTTGGTCGTTATAGGGGGGTTTAAAAAAGGGGTATTTGGTCGTTATAAGGCGGTTTAAACAAGAGGAATATGGTTGTCATAAAAAGGTATCAAGTAATGGTGATTTGTTGCTATAAAGAAGTTTTAACTAGATGTATGTGGTCGTTATAAGGCGGTTGTGATTAGAGATATGAAGCCGTTATAAGGAGGTTGTAAGCCGATGCATGTCATCGTAATATGAAAGTTGTGGTTAGCTGTTTGTAGTCGTTATAAGGAGTTTTTATATGTCACCAGAAGTCTGTTGTTAGTATAATAAGGTTCTACTAGATGTATTTGGACGTTATATGGAGGTTGTCATCAGAGTGATGAATTTAATATAGAAAGGGTTTTTGCAAAGGTATTTTGTAACTATAAGGAACTTTTTAAACAGAGATATGTTGTTTTTATAACATACCTTCGCCAAACGTTGTCTGTCGATTTCAGGAGATTGTATCTAGAGGAATATAGTCGTTATAATGAGGTTGCTATCAAAGCCATGTAGTCGTTTAAATAGTGTTTGTATTAGATGTACGTAGTTGTTTTTAAGAGGGTTTGTATTAAAAGTATTATGTCGTTAAAGAGAGGTTTATATCAGAGGTATGTAGTCGTTATAGGAAACGGCAAGTAACCAGTAGTACATAATTATTAGAAGGAGTTATAAAAAGGTTACTTGAAACATGAAGTCGTTATAAAGAGTCACAAAATCGTCAGGAAAACGGTGTAGCTGGTGCTACATGTATATAGCCGTTAGAAGGTGTGTTTTTTATCACAACCACAAGCCGTTATAATAAGCTTTAGGTAGAAGGGTTCATCGTTATGAAGGTCGCTGATACCATTTTTATATGAATGCAGCCGTTATGAGTTATATAACCAGAGACACGTGGCCGCTGTGAAGGAAAGGCGTTATAACGGTTATGTAGCCGTTATAAGTTATATAACCACAGACACGTGGCCGCTGTGAAGGAAAGGCGTTATAACGGTTATGTAGCCGTTATAAGTTAAATAACCAGAGACACGTGGCCGCTGTGAAGGAAAGGCGTTATAACGGTTATGTAGCCGTTATAAGTCATATAACCAGAGACACGTGGCCGCTGTGAAGGAAAGGCGTTAAAACGGTTATGTAGCCGTAATAAGAAGGTTAAAATTGAGATTGCTGCCTGAGGACTGCGGTCGTAATCAGTTGCAAAAAGATGTAGATATCATTTCTAAAATATGATTATCTTACGCTGAATTATATAACATTTAGTGTTCGAACGATGTATTAGCGACGGTCTTAATATTACCGCACTCATTGCAAGCATAAAGAGTCGTTAATGTTACAGAACACATAAAAGTGCAGCCATTTAATGAAAATGCAATAATTCTACAAAGTGCAGCAACATGTCGTCAAGATTTTAAAAGAAACAGACTTAATATATGTCGCACTTAAAGTCACCCGATATATCAATATTCATGGTTTTAAAGGTGATTGTTAGCCTTTTTCAAAAATGTTCTTTAAGAATTGATATGACTCATTTTGTTTATTTTCATCACGAAATGACGATGGAAAAACCCAGACTGAAATCAAACTCAGTGAAACTCTCAGCTGTAATCACCTTCATTTGCCAGTGAAACTACCAAGATTAACCACTTTGTCGATGAAGCTACGAATTTTAACCTGTTCTTTCGTTCTTGAAACTACCACCTAACTTTTTTTCATTGTTCCAAAAACACCATTTTGTTTAAGCAATTTCGTTTGCCAATAAAACTACAAAGTTCGATTTGTTTCAGGTGCCTTTGAACAACCAGGTTCATTTGCCTATAAGCCCATTAAGCTTGGCCTGTTTCATTGGCCATGAAATCATCAAAAATGGTAACCTGTTTCATTCGCCCATTTATATTAACTATCAAAATTAACGTGTTCATTTGCTGTAATGGTGTTTTTTTCTGTGAGTTATCTTAAGAAAGTTAATTTTACACGAAAATATTCCTCTCGCAAAAAAATAAAAGGTTACAGTATGTGTAGGGTATTTGGAAACATACAATATTAATGTGTAGCGCCAGACACGTGCCACATCTGTGATACTTTGAACTCTGTGACTGTATATAGTTTATATCATGCAGAATTATCATTACGAATATTCATTATATTAAACCTGAATTAGCATACTTTCAGAATTATTATAAATGCTAATACCTCAGCGAATGTTTGCAGACCACACTTAACTAACTATATATGGGTCTACACCACTATACGCCTGTATTCACTCCGCACATCTATACCTGTTACAAGGACCTACAGGTATAACCGCATCAGTGGCTAGATACCTACCTGTCAGCAAATGAACTCACCTGAATGAATATACCTGTACGTACCTGAAAAATCAAGACATATAATACAAGGGTGTCGAGGGAGCCGGTTGATACCCTATAGTAATAGACTCTAGCTATTGTGAGATTTTGTCTTTACCTGGAATACTTTTAAACGCCTATTACAGGTAAACTGAGAAAAAGGTGTATTTATCAACGGTTAACGCGGGGACCATTACTATTGCAACAGATCCGTGTTTGGTGTAAAATTGAGTGATATAAAATAGACAAACTTTAAAAAATAAAAAATTGTAGCTCGTTTAAATAATCAGCTTCGTCATATTAGGAGGATATACGTGCTAAAGCGGACGCACTACTGGAAAAAACTATTGCGGATACATAGCCACCACCTGTGTTTTTGTGTAAGTCACTGTGACAATCCAATACTCAACCAGGTTTACGGTTTATCTGAACAACGGAAACATTTGGGATAACGTTGTATGAAATATACGGTGAAAGTTTTCAGAAGAGTTACTATAGTTAACCTAGAATTGGTTTTGTGAGCAAAGTGAATAAGGAGAAGGTACATCGGAGACATCCTGGATAGGGTTACGCAATTTTACCTGACAGAATCAATTCACCACAAGGTGGATTGAACCTTACTGTCCAACTGGCGGTCACACTCGGAGAGACAATGATCTACACGTTAACACAACAGCAACTCAACCCCGGGCTGACTCAGCCCTTCACGCAGGGGACCAGTCATGGATTCACACAGCCCCTCACCCAGGGGCTGCTAACACAACAGATTAGCCAGCAACTTACCCAGCAGCTTGCACAACAGCCCGTCAGCCCCGGGCTCAGCCCGGGGGTAAGCCCACCAGGTCTCAGCCCCGTAGTGACTCCTCCAGGTCTCAGCCCCGGACTAAATGGTGCTAACGGCCAGTTGGTCAGTGCGTCCAGCCCGGGGGTCAGTCCTATATCTCCCGTGGCACCAATGTCTCTTCAGCCCGGAATAATGCATCTTATAAACTACGGAGACAAGGACCTGGGACTTCTACTTTCACAGAGGTAAACTTAATACAAATTGCACGAAAAAGATTCGTAAGGCGTTGACATACATGTATTTATAATAGAACCCCCTTTTACAAGTTTCATATTTTTAATATGGAGATTTAATATATTTATTCTTAATTTTATACTTTTAAGTACAGATGTGTAGTCTCGCTACACCGTCAAGCTAACAAGAATTAAATGGACGAGTTCTAAAATGTAAATAATTACTCATATCCCATCCAGTATTCCTTGCCTGACTGATTAAACTAAACATAACAAGATTGTTCCCTTGTTTGAGAATTGGAGAACCAACATCTCAAAACATACTTTATGATCATCTCCCCAAAGAGGGCTATGTTGAACCAATATTTACCTTGCGATGACAGTGGAAAAGTTGACAATACTTATCTCCCCTGTCTACAGGTAAACATAACCACAACGTCGGAGCTATAATGAGCCGATCAAATATTTAAACTCGATCAGCCGGCGATGTACCGTTATGTCAAACAGATAGGGGAGCTAATATTGACACTACCGACCGTATGGTTTAGAATTAAGTTAATTTAACGTTAAATAATGGGTTAGTGTAAACCAGAAGTTCAATAAAAACGGGGAGAAGGTTAATTATAATTGTAATGACCATTATTGATACAAACTTATCCTTTTACTGTGTATATCATCCTCGACCCAATCGGTTTTTTAAATCTTTTGAAAATGTACATACCGATTTTCATTTTACTAAATACGTGTATTATTTGCATTCATTGGCTTTTCAAAAGAAGGCGCATGCTCACTTGTGAAGTGACTCAATCAAAAACATGTGTGACAAAACATGAACAAAGGGTTAAATACAAGTGACAAAATGGAACAATATCCCCCTTCTGTCAGCCCCCTCCCTACCCAACTTCTATACGTATCATGTTTAGTGTGTTCATGTTATCACCCAGAACAAGTAGTCTCCCCTACTTGATAGTGTTGACACAAGGTAGGCCCCGCCAGATAACGATGTGATATATGGCTAGCCCCTAATTCTTCTGCACCCGTACAGGTCCTTTATTGGTGTTATATCTCATCCGTACGTTCACCTGTGACCATACCCGTCTGGGGACTGTGGCCTTCTGTACTAAAAACACACGGTTAAAATGTACATCTTTAACATATCACTATAAAATGCTACAGTGCCTTCTCCGCTCATGAAAGCCGAATCGAATACTTGATCCATGTTGGATATTTGCATATTTGTTTTTCAAATGTTGTTCCACTGAATCCAATTCATCATCAGTAGGCTGGCACATACCGTCCAGCGTGTGATGACAGCAGATTGTTGTTCTTGTGAATTCAAAGATAGCAAGGGAACAACCACTGTCTGCGCAATCCTCAATTTGGGTTTCCGTTAAATTTAAGCAATATTGTTATTGTTATTTTTCTAGTATCAAATGAACTATGTTTTTTTCTGCAGATAATTTATACAACAAGAGAACGAAAGTTCAGGAGTTGAGAGCGAGACAAATACGACATATTTGTGTAGGGACCCGTAGAACGCCTGGTAGGGCATTGTTCTATAAATAGGCAGTGCTCCTAAGAAGCCCATCTCTCTCTTTGGCACTTTGTGGTTGACCCCATTAAACAAAGGGTAAATTACGATTATACCCTGATGTATTGGCTGTACACATTAAGACATCGTTGTATCCTGTTATCCCTTTACGTGATAATAGACCCGTCTTGTAGAACACGAAGAATCCGCTTGATCCTGCTGAGCCTACAAGCTTAAGGTTAGAATTGTGAAGCGTATTAAATCTGTCAAGTAGAATGCTTTATACGTTGTACTGTTTGTATATAAATAATATTTAGTCAGTTTTAATGCAGATCATTAAAGAAAATATGTCAGCAACAATTAAAAACACTGCAAATTAACCTCAACCCGTCTTTTTTACTGCCCTGCTCAGACGACAGTAATGTATTTAATTAAGCAGTAGATAGACACTAACTTGTGCAAACGGGACTAACCATGCATGTTTCAGTAGAATCTCGTTAGAGGTTCTAGAGGTCATGTTCCTGAAGCTTCAAAATTGCAAGATAAAACTGAAATCAAAGATATATATTTATATTAAATAGTGAATAAGACTAAGACAAGGATCAATGCTGAGCCCTGAAGTATTTTATTACACTTTTTAAATCAAGACTTTATCGAGCAATTGAATTGTAAATTCGATTGCTATGTCCACAATAACCTGCTATGTTTGATTTCATGAACGGTAACCAGACAGAAACCAACATAACCCTTTTTTCTGTGTTATGACCGACATTATACCACCTTGCAAGAAGCCGTGTGTGGTAGGCGGTCACTTCAAATTTACTTGGCTCCCGTTAAAATGTAAATGACAACTTATGTATGCAAAGTTACGCAAGAGAGCTACTGTATTTTGAGTCATTTATTGAGATTTATTTGCAACCTTATATTTGACAGCCATCTAAATCACAGATGCTGTTTCGAACATGTATCTTAAAAAGTTCTCAAGCAGCACCTAGCTATTTTGCACTTGAAAGACTCGGGACATCATTTAATAGATATCTTAATCTTACGATTTGTAAAAAGGCAATTTGTTTTTGGTTCAATCACAATCGTTAAAAATCCACAGTAGATCAACCAATTTGAATCACAAATATACACGATCAGGCATGGTTGTTTACACTTGAGAGACACGGAAAACCTCTTTATTTGAATTTTGAAGTAATTTCAGTAAAATGCTATCACTTTGAAAGAATTCAACGCAGGAATGAACATAGATGTGTCAGGTAGATTTTTTTTTCTCCATGCGGTTTATGTAGAGTTTTAATTCGAAAACATACAAGCTCTTCATTTTTTGTACGTAAATTAATTTGATGTATATTAATTATTTAAAGTAATTTAAACATTTCAATTAATGGAATCGGCATACATATATAAATAACATTTGGTAAATTGATAAAACCTTCATGTGTGTGTATTTTAAACACTCACTTTACTGTACTAAGTGAAATGTTCACGTCTTTAGGCTGTACATGTAACACGTGGCAGACCGAACAAAAAGTGTTAAAATCGACCAAAACATGACATTTACATCAGTGTTCAACGGCCCGTGACGGAAACTTAATTAATCTTTACACTGTTATTTCGCTGTCATCAACATAGATTTAGAGTAGTCCACTTATTAATGGGAAAAGGCTGGGGAATAAACAACCTTAATATAAACACATCTAAATAACGTTAACACTGCATGATTCTCATATACCACAACAGGTCAAGCGAGACTCTGTTACAAATGAATGAAGTTTGCTTAAGATGAACAACGCTTCATTGAAGTCCCTCTAGATTTGGTCTAGGAAATTTAGTCCTTCGGTCTAACGTTATGGAGAGTATGGGGGAAAGTTAGCAATACATACTGAACGGAAATGTCGACCTTGCAATATTCGCTGTCTCAGCAAGTTCTTGATTCTTGCTCATGCAAATTGTGTCTCGCTGTCAAAGAAATATTCTTGACAAGAAAGCAGAAAAAACCTGTCCTCTAAACTCAAATGCATTACAAGCTTTAAACCACCTTTGTCGTACAATTAGACATGTCGTATGATTTATTCAGTAACGTAAATTAATAATTTTGACTGTCACCGTGTTGTTCATTATTCGTAGCCTGTAGGCTTAAATACGCGCTACAATTAAAGGTGATGCATGTATGTAATGCATATACTGTCACTTCAAAACATTTGCATACATACATATATATGTTTGATACATGTACGAATAAAGGGCTACCGATACATGCGTATATAGAATGGCAATTTCAATTCCGACTTTCTCCATACAAAACAAATGTTTCAAATTGAGTCCGATATTTACCGTTACCAAATTGTAAACAAGTGTATATCCTACAGTGAAGTGTGTGAGAGTTATTCCACAACGCAGACTATTGCATAGTGTAGCAATAACAGTGAAATAAACAATAGGGAAAGGGGTCCATTTTGTTCCCAGTATTAGAATTTTGCTGAAGGTCAATGTACCTGCGGAAGCTGATCTTAACCCGGCAAAGTCATTCAAGGTGAAACTAGCAAACGAGTATTGGTGACCGGCGTTGACCTCTGTATAATTGCGTAGAACCGGTTGCTACGTATATTCTATACGTCTGAATATGGCTTATAAGTACGGTAGTTCCTAGTTACCAATGCTGGTGTCTACTTACCTCGTCCGAGACCTAGATAATTTTTGACGGACGCGACCTCAAGACGTCCTCTGAGTGTCCGAGGTGAACATCACCTTATGATATACATGTGTGTGACGCGCCAGACTTCTCCACTCGACAGACGGTGTGATGTCAGAAATAATTACAAATGAACCCTCACTTGCACTTCTGCAATTCGTAAGCATTACATAAAGGCGAATCAAGCTTCCTCATATAAGTTGTTTTTGTTTTCTTTCTAAACATCTGCTAAAAAATATGAATATTTTTGTTATCTATTGATGGGGATCACATGGGGATCACATAAAATCCGGAAAAAAAAGAAATTGTGAAATGTTAATTTTTCTACGACAGCGTGAAGTTACGATTATAAATCATTACATACAGCTCACAAACAGGTAAATTTTATTTTCTAACAGTTAATCTATGACTAACAATGATAATTGGACTCCTTATCGTGATCTATTGACTACCATTAGTATGACACGTGTACAAGTGCATTTGACCTGAACGTAGAGGGAGGAAGTGCAGAGTGTCTGATGAACTCATGTTTAAATTATTATTTTATAACTCCGGAGACATATGACCTATGAATCACTGAAAGTCACTTTAGTGTTAAAGAAAAATAGATATATACGATACATATGTTACAGTTTCAAGGTCAGAAAGTAGGACGTCGTTCTAGAAATGACGATTCAATGAAAACATATCTTAATTATGATGTTCCCAAATTTGCGTGGATCAAACTACATGCATTATAGATAATGTGGATACTTAGACTGACTTAGTGGTCCTGTATGGTAA